GTTCCTCAACAGCAACCCAGATGATTGTAATCATTGTAATCTGCAACCTATACTGAGGTTCCGGGCCTTTCTACAACCTGTAGGGCTTATAGGGCTTTGCAGTGTTACAAGACTTTTGTAGATCCATGGGGCCGACGGACTACGCAAGATTTTAATGGCCGTCAGGTTTGTAGAAGAGTCATCGTAGGGCAGGAAACAGGGAGCCTGCAAGATGTCAGAGCCTGTTCCGATATTGAAACAGACCAGGTATGTGCTTCTTGCAGAGCNNGAGCCCCCCCCCCCCCCCCGAGGATGTCAGCACAATGCGCTTGGAACTTCAGTCATCCTTTTCCCACTTTTTGTCTCTTTTTCCTTCTGATGGGAGGCCTGGGCAGCCCTCGCAGTGGGACTTCCGGGTATGGCCCAAGCAAGCGGCGCGGTAGCAACGGTAGTCCCCCCCCCCTCATTGCTCGGGTTTGGCTGTGCCACAGCTTCAGAAGCCAACTGAATCAGAGTTAAGAATAGTGCAGTGCAGTTTTTCTAGATTCTGCCTAGGCTTGAAGTCCTCATGAAGGTTAAATCACTTCCCAATTCCCACAAACATAGTGGTCCTTCCCGGAGAGTCTCCGGAAATCGTTTCCTGATTAATGACAGTTGACATGGCAGTCATCGCAGCATTCTGCTAGAACGGACTAGTGGCAGTGCATACAGTGGTAGTAACTTTTTGATGATGCGGTAGTTTCCCTAAAATAGGGTTGGACCCCAAAATGTTAGATGATACCCCTAATTTCGGGAAGCCACCATATGTCTCACGGGCCTGAACACGACAACAGGGTGAGGCTCGCGGCTTCGAGCTGTCCACCTGCTAGCGCGGTCGGTCTTCCTATGATTGCGGATACCTTTTGGGCAATCCCCTAAAAGGGATTAAGTAGAATATTTTTGAGTCTTATCCGGCTTCCCCTATTTATGGACCCTGCCAGGTGCAGTTTTGCTTTTGTGAAGCTTGGGCTCGTCAAGAAACGGCCTTCGAAATGCGTATAGCAAGTACGACTACATGGGCCCGATTGTCAGACGTGAAATATCTTGAGACCCCGCTCTGAAGATCCTGATGATGCGGCCCCTCACCAAAGATTTGTTTATGATTTAACTGGTGACTAGTGCTTATGATAAACCCCCCGACTGGGTGAAAGGGTGTCCTGGCTTCTGAGATGAGAAGAGGTCTTGAGTGTTGTGTTGTTTGAACAATGTCCCCAAGAGGAGAGAACCTCTCCACGGGCGAGATGCTTTTAATCTTTCTGGAGTCAGGCCTAAAACGTCGCATGCGCCTGCAGTGGAGACAACCACCTTCTCTGGCTACAGTATTTCCTGGTTCCAAAACTTCCGAGGATTTCGTCCGCCACGCTCAGTGCTAGGCTGTTGCTGCATGTCTTGCCACAGCAACTGCACCGCACTGCGACCGCGGCACCTAGAACATTGCCAGATACGCGTCCCCTGCTAACGTGGAACTGTTTGCTTTTGGGATAGTCGGTGCCTAGTTTTTTTCGGAAGATCAGCAGAGGTAACAGCTCCACGTACACTAGGGTTAAGGATTGTTCATGACTTGTCTGGGCAGACATTGGAGACACATGCTGAGTGCTTGCCAACCAGTAGGCTGTTTGCACTGGGCCTTTCAGGGAGATCTTAATAGTTCTGGGTCTAATTCCAGGGCATGCTTGCGAAGAGATGATGTGTTCAGCTGATGGCCAGGCTCATTTGCGAGACCTTTGCCACAAGTATGATTATGTGTGTCATGTGCAAACGTTAGAATATGCTTATATACGCTAGGGCCAATACAAGAACAGTAAGTAGCGCCGGGCGTCCCAAAAGAAAACAGACGTACCCCTATCAAGGCCGCCGTCCCAACCCGCGTCAAGAATGGGCGCCGCAGCAAGGGCCCAATGACCTTGACAGAGCCCTATCCTTAGCATGCGGATGTACTAGGTAGGTCAAGCACTTCTGAACTACAGAAACGCCCCACCTAGCTAGAGATTGCCTACCTCACACGCCTCCATGTCTACAACAGCCCAAGCTCGCATAAGACACCAACAAGCGAGGAAAGTCCCCTAAAAATCCATATTCCATACAAAACGAAGAAGCAATCCATACCAGATGCGGCCACTGCCTTGCTGATCAGCCACACGAAGGAGTTGGACAATTCGCGCCCTGCATTCATCCAGTTTAAGACAGAGTTCTCTAGAGGGACAGCTGATGTCTTTCAAAGGAGACCGCTCAATCTTTTGGTCCTAACGCACCTCCAATATTTCCGGGTCACTCGCTGTTCCGGGTGGAACCCGCTGGGCGTTTTTTTTTAGCATTGAGGTGTCTCGTCCTACCGCGCAGCAAGAGCCGTCTCTCCGATTTTTCTCCTAGTACAGGCTATTGCTACGATGATCTCTGGAGGATGGCTGAAGGTTGCACACCCACCCCACTATTCAGGTTGACAATGTTGCTAAAGAAATCAATCTCGCCATTCCCCTAGAGGCATAGCAATGTAATGTATAACAATGCAGTTGTTCTTGGAGGAAGATTAATTTGCATGCCCTGTCCAGAACCGCCCACAATCCAAACAGAACGCCATTCCAGTCGACCTTTGAATTGGCTGGTTGTGTACCCTCAATCCTTCTACATCCTACATAGCCCCCAGCACTCCCCGGGACAAACCCTGTGAGCTAAGTCTGACGCTTCCCATCTTCACCGCTTTGGTCGCCTTCGATGCTCCTTTGCCGCCGTTGGCGGCCGCCAGGTGTCAGGAGTGGACCATCGCTACAGACATCATGACGAGGGCAAGTAGTAACTTGAGCAAAGGTTCAAAGAGCTGTAACCAGCCTTAGTCTTGTCCCAGTCGTCTTACTAGTAGCAGTAGTAGGAGCAGCAGCAGCAAGTAGGATTACATCCAAGAAGACGTGGTGAGAAGCAACCTTATCCGTCGCCCCACCGAAGCATCTCCGCATCGCCATGCTCTGTTCGCCCTTGTATGAAGGCGTTTGCTCCGCTATTGTTCTGTGACGCATACGAACCAACAGAGAATTGGAGGGTGTTGATCTCATGCGCCTGTGATAGAGATCTCGCTCATACAGTAAGTTTTGCTGAAGAGATTGCAGGTCAGTATTTCGTGGCTTCTGGCAACAGGTGCTTCTCAAATCAGATTATACACCTCGTCATTACTCAACATTACAAAAAAAGCTCTTGATGGGGTTTCCTGGGTTGAGTTGTGGGGTACTCAAAGAGGACAAAGTCAGACAGTTACTCGCAACGTTTGAGGTACTGACCACGCTTTGAGTTGGTCAGCTGCCGGGCATGATCAACTCGAGCCCGTCTGAGAGAGAGAGAGAGAGAGGGCTGTGTGGCTCAAGGGTTGTAGTCAAAGTACGTACCTATATATGTGTCTATATATATATATATGCATATACTGCTCCATGTCTCGCGTAATCACCCATGCGTTTCCTCGCAACCCTGTGGTAACATATCTACCCTTAACATTCAGTAGAGAACGCCAACACGGCAATCTACATCTTAATACATGATAACTCCACGTATAAAAATATATTTGCCAATGTATTGCACAGATATACTGATGTGCTCTTTATACTACACAAATAATAACCCCTATAGTAGTCCCCCCATATAGTCCCCTATATAACCCCCCCCGTATTTAAGTTTCGACTATCGCTCATATGTATATTTAAAGTTCAGAGGACGATTGCCTGTCAGCGGCGGGGATCTTGGCACTCTGTGCGGCCTCCCTCATGAGGGCTCCGCTGGAGAGGCCAAAGTCACCCTGGGGCCACTAAAGGGCCCAAATAATTGTGAAAGGGGGTTGTAGGGATATATATATATATACATATATATATATTACAGATATATACCTGTTTATATCTATTTATATTTGAGAACAGGGTTTAAGGCTGTTGCCCTTATACTGGAGAATCAAATGGGGAAGAATTTGGAGCGTGAAATGGAAAGTGGGCTTATCAGGGCTTATGGGGAGAGTCACAAATGTTATGGTCTGCGTCCAAGCTTCCTTGTTATAGCTTGGAGTACCGTAGATGTGCCTCAAAAGGACTCAAGAGGACCTGGGAACTTATTTGGGCCCCTGTCTTCCTGTCACCTTGCCAGGGAGCATGTTACTGAGTATGTACATTGTTCTTTACGTATTCTGTAGGCAAACAGTTTCAAGCTTTCAGAATATCTCAGCTAATCAGTCCTTCTTGCACATGAATCCCTAATTTGAAGAAGCTCCCATCCTGCGATTAAAAGGGATTTTGCAGCGTTGTGAGTCCGCTCATTGTCTATGATAGGTGAAAACCAGGTCCGTGTGTGTACAGACGGGACCTGCAGAGCCTGAAAATGGCCTAGCGCTTGTTCAAGATTGCTTTCACAGACCTGGAGGTCGTAGTGTGTTTGTTTATGCTCAAACCGTGCGCAGAACTATCAAAGCCCCAACCGCCTACTACAGCCATGGATCTGGAATCTCAGTTGTAAGCGGCCACATTTCAGAAGATCTCCATGCCAAATCGACAGCTACTGACTCCGCGCTTCAGCGTTGAAGGATCCCCATGAACCCTGAAGCAGGGATGTAAGCACATGAACTCAGTTCTCTTCGCTGTTGGCGTAGGCTGTGTTTGGATGAAGACTTTCGAGCGTGCTGGAGCAACTGGACGGGCGGTCTTTGCTTTCAAATGTTTGTGCACCTGATTTTCCGGAGCATTGTTTGTGAGGTAGGTAAGGTTTCCTGGCAGGCGGTGGGCTTGGCTTATCAGGGACCATGAACCAGATGTGTGCGCATGTCATGGCCACAGCCTGAGCGCAGAGAGGACCCTGCAACTTTGTGAGATCACCTCCGACGCACTGGCAGCTCGGAGTCATGTCTGGGATCAAGAGTAAGTAGAGCTGCAACAAGTTGTTGGTCCTTGTTTGCTTGTTTGCGCGGCGGTGCTTTAGGAACTCCCTCCAGACATTTTCATCTGCCGCAGGCCATTTTGGCTGGAGTTCCAGGCCAATAGGAAAGATGCCACTTGGCCGTTCGTGCTTCTAATGCCCTGCGGCATCCTGCGGCCCCAGGTGCGGGGCTTTGCTGGGGAGCGCCAGCCTGGCTCGCGCCGGGCACTCTTCACGCTCTCTTGCATCAATGCCTTGAATTTTGCCGACCGATATGTGCCAGCCTCCGTGAAGCCACAAATTCAGGCGGAGCTTGGCTTAAATGACTGGCAGAGCGCACTGCCTGCAATGGCCATGACGGCTGTCTTCACTGCTGCCAGCCTTTTCTTTGGCATCCTGGCAGACAGGGAGTGTTTGGACCGTAGACTGCTCCTGGCCATGGGCATTGCTTTTTGGTCAGTTGCCACAGCTCTTGCCGGTTTCGCCCAGGATCTTGAGCAGTTGGTGCTCTTTCGAGCTTTGGTGGGTGTCGGGGAGGCCTCCTTCGCAACAGTGGCGTCGCCAATGATCACTGATTTCTACCCTGCTGCACAGCGCAACCGCGCCTTCACAATCTTTAGCCTCAGCGCCCCCGTGGGCGCTGCGGTGGGCTTCGGAATGGGCTCTGTGCTGGGAGAAAGCTTGGGCTGGCGCTCCGCCTTCTTTGTCTGTGGCTTCCCAGGTGTTCTGGTCGCTGCCTCTGTGCTCTTCCTGAATGACCCCCCCATGGGTATCAACGACCAGTTTGAGGACCCTTGTCATACTGAGGAGGACAGCACAGACGACGACTCGGAGAGTTCTGATCCAACTCCGCGCACGCGCTGCGTGTTTTTAAAGGAGGCCTGGGTGTTGCTGACCAACCCTTACTTCTTTTTCGCCACCGTCGGTACCGTGGCCATCTCCTTCGCAGTGGGAGGGCTCACGGAGTGGTACCCCAGTTTCTTGGTTCGCTACACCGAATCTTGGGCTATATCATTAGATGAAAGTGTAGAAGTCTAGGAATGCTGAAGCTCAACCGAGAACAACCATAACCATTCTTACTCATATGTAGTTGGGAATCGGCGCAGTTGGTCTAGAGACTTTGACAGCTTTAATACTGGTGGTTACACATACGGGCTACTTCAGACACTCCCAAGAGAGCTTGGGTAATTCTGTGTAAGAACCGCCTTGGCCATGGCCCAGGAGTTCTCCCAGGGAACCGCGGGTCTTGTGCTGAGCGCCACCGCTGTGGCCAGCGGCTTTGGAGGAACGATACTAGGCTCCAAGGTGGGTGTTTCAGAACATCAGGGCACCTAAACAAAGTCATGAGACATCAATTTCCTAAGGGGCTTACCCCAAAGGAGCAATGACTTTCGGAAACCTGCAGGTTGCAGACTCTACAGCCCGTAGGCTTCCCTGGCTTGGAAGCAGTGCCTACTACCTGGTGCCGGCCATCTTCATGCTGCCGGGCTCTGCGCTCATTGCGGGCGCCGTTAACCTTACGGAGCCAAAGATGCTAGTCACTTGCTTGGTGCTTGGTCAGACCTTCTTCTTTTGCTACATGGCGCCCATTGCTGCACTCTCTATGTCCGTGATCCCAGTACACAGCCGCGCACGCGGATCAAGTCTACAGATCCTTTTGGGCCATGCTCTAGGTGATGTGATCAGTCCACCTATCATAGGCTACATTTCAGACACAGCAAGCCTAAAGCAAGGCTTGCAGGTCACCTGGGTGGCTGTCATCATAGCTGGCCTTTCATGGTTTGCTGGTTATTCCTGTCTAGCTCGGCCGCCTATGGAGATTATTCCAAAGCAAGAGAAAGACTCTGGCACAATCGGATGGGTCCTTCAGAAAGGGATGAGCTCAGCTTGCCACTGCACTTCCGACGAGTCCAGTTGAAGAGGGCTGCATTTGTAACGCATCTTGGTGTAGCCAGCATCCCCACTCCGCTGACCAGCAGCGACGGTGGGAATTGCAAGTGCCTACCTTCTGCATGCATGGACTTGCGGAAGGACTCCACACAAAGCCGGACGCTGTACTGATTGTACTGGGACCCCTCGTTCATGCAAAATGAATTAATCACAGGGGACAGGGGCTTTCTGGTGTACCATGGGAGCCTATGACCACTTGGAGTATGGGGATTGGAGAGTACCGGCAAGGAGGCAAGTACTGCAGTTTGTAGTCTTTGTGTAGATTCCCTGCGAGGTCTGGGGTCTGGGGTTCCTTATTTGGGTTTACTGAAGCAACGTCATATCTCATCCAATTATAGAAAAGCTGGAAAGAGGTCAGAGCGTTGGCAGGCACCTTTTTTGACGTAAGAGCTGAATTTTGCTTGCCTTGGCCCTTCATAGGGTTTAGGGTTTAGGGCTTGGAGTCTTGCAAGACTAGCAACAAGCACAAGCATGATCGCTACCTCTGGTATCTGCTCACAGGAAAGCATTGCTACTGTATCTTCAGGCCGGTTGCAGGGAGGTTGTAGAAGCTCTGAATTCAATTTGGCGGCTGTTTAGGAGCTTACGTTGAGGCACGATTATCAGGAAACTCGATTCTTCATTATGTTTCCGTATTACGGTACCAGTTTTTAAGTTCCTTAGCTGAGCCCACACAACTCCAGTTTTCATTCCAGTTTCCATTCTCTTCTCCATTCGATTCTTCGCTATGTTAACTTAAGTACTCATCCCTATCGTAGTCTGTATATACCCCCCAACAATAGAATGATGTGCCCTTTCCCGCTGTCCACAAAACATCACAAAAACATCTCTATCATGCCGAGCTTATGTTTCCATTGTCCTTCCCACTGTTTTCAAAACCTCCAAACCGCAACCGTATTTCAAATTCCTCAGCCTCATTTCAGTCATGCAAGCCCATCTATCCCTATTTACCTCCTGCACAATCCCCCCTACAGCCCTTTACAACCACCCTAAGCCCTAAATCCTAAACCCTAAGCCCAAAACCCTAAATCCTAATCCCTACACCCTAAACCCTAAACCTTGAATCCCTACCCCCTAAACCCCAAGCCCCCTAAGGCATCAGAGCCCTTCGCCTATGAGCTCGCCGCCTTTCTCCCAGCGAATGCCCAGACCTGGCCGAGGTCGTTTGGGGTGAAATGAGTTCAGGGTTTAGAGTTAGCTAGGGGTTATATAGGGATATGAGAAAAATGGAAACTACTATTTAGGGTTTAGGGTTTAGGGCTGTTGGTTTCATTCTACTGTGAACTGCCGTATTGGTATGTACTCTTCTGTGATACAGATCTCTACTACTGCGAGCACTATGATAGTGACTGTGGCCGCAGGAGATAATAGTAGAGAGCAGGCAGCGGCAGCGGCAGCAGCAGCAGCAGCAGCTGCAGGAACAGCCATCACGATGGGCATGCTCGTTCGCGAGGTTTGCGGGAGCTTTGGGTGCTGGCGCCCAGGGTTTTAGCAAGAAAGGTCGGGCTTGATATGGCTTTGCTGGTAGCGGGGTAACCAATATCGTTCCTGTGCTGGGACGCAGCATTGGAGGTTAGGGCAAGAGCAGGAAGAGAGTGTGTGTGAAGGCCGTCCTTCTCGCCCTCGTGCAAGGCTAAAGGCAGGCATTCTCTAATCTTTCTCCGGGTGTTCCGAGTGACTTGTGGCCTTGATACATAAAATGATGTCGTGGGTGTATCCGGACCCAAATCTACAAATGCGCCAATATGAAAGCAGAGAAGCTTGATCATGGTCATCCAGAGCCTGTGCTATCTGACTCCGAACTCAGACACGTTGTTGCAAACAAACGGAAGTGCACTCGTAGAGCTTGTTTTAGAGTGCCCATGTTTGCCTTGATGTATAGTCTGACTGGAGTCTTGTCTCTGTTGATAAGAGCGAAGAGTCCATGAAACGCAGTATGTAGTCTTCCGGGTTGTGAGCCTTTGATGTCATTGCAACCAAGCTGCCATCAGCCTGCCTGATGCCCATGCTAATCCTGATACCAGAGGTTCTTGAAGGTTGGAAGATGCAATGCATATTCTATCAAACGCAAGGATCAAAAGACCGTACGCCCTCCTAGCAGTCTTTTGCCTGGCACGGAGCAGGGAATGCAGGAACTCTACAGCAGTCCCCAATCCCTAGAATCCTCGCGCTCTCCCCTTCTCCTACTTTCTGACGCGTCTTTTGCGAAGTCTGATCTTAATGGCTTTCACTTTCAGCCTTACAGAGAGGTGGTGTCCAGGACTTCTGCATGTCTTGTGATTTCAGCTCTCTGAGGCTGCTGGCCATGATGCTAGCCGCTCAGGACGAGGGCGCCCAGAATTGGCCGCTGGTGCCCTGGTCGCCATGGGGGTTTATAGGGTTATGCAGAATGGCTTAAGATGATGTAGTAGTTCGGAAATGTGAGATAGTCTCAGCTATATATGCCTCCTCTTGAGATGTTGGGTTCGTGATTTTGGAAGCAGCGCACTCTCTGCTTGGACAGCTTCAGAGTGTCGAGTTCTGGGCTCCTGCTCCCATCAAAATCCTCTGTGTTTGCACGGTTGATATACTATATAACCCCCATATATACCCCCATATGGCCATATGACCCAATATAAGTATATAACCCTAGATGATGCTAACATCCACCTTCTCGTAATCTGTCTCTCCAGCCAGACCTGCATAGACACGCTTATTGAGCTTTAGGTTTAGGCTTAACAGTTTAGGGACAATCCAGTTCCAAGAAATCTTGGTCTCAATCCTAAAGAAGTTCCCCAACCAAGTGCAGGCCACAAGCCTCAAACTCTGTGCACACTTGCTTTGACCTTGCTGTTCCTGCCCAGTGAATCCAAAAAATCTCAAAAACATGCAGCAATCCTGGAGAAAAGCAGGAGAGGAACCCCCGCAAAAAGATTCCCCCACCATGGCAAGGATCAAGCAATCCTTATTTAAGCCGCGCGTTCTGCTAAATTGGCGGGACGCGGATCCCTGACTGCAAAAATGCCAGGTCACCAAACTTCTGCAACATGGCTTTGCTGATCCAAGGCCTTTCCTATCACTCCAGTACATTCGCAAGCAGGGGGGGTTGTGTGATGTTGTGGGTTGGGAACTGCGTGGGCGCCGGCTGATACTGTAGGGCAAACGACGGCATGCTTGCTGGAATAGTTCTGGATTTTCCCAGAGGCTCTGCGATGTTTTGTCCCAGGCCTCTGGGGGGATTTCGTGTGCAGACAAGGAAGCAAGCCTGCAACCTACAACGTCATGGAGCGCCAGATACTTGCAATGTAGAATTTTGACAGTGACTTCGGTATTTCAAAACAATTGTGATGTGACATGAAGCTCAGGACATCCTAGTCAAGTGTTTTCCTGATCTTACATGAAACCCAGGTGGCAGGGTAAAAGCTGGCCCTGAGGCCACAAGGCCGTAAGTAGGGATACTGGCGAAGAACATGGAAACTACTTTAGTAGATTGGGATCATGTAGGGATAATGGAAAAGAAAATGGAAACTATTACAGTATATTGGGGTTATATAGGGAATAACGCCAATTTTGTTCCCAAGTGTTGACCGAACACATGTACGTACCTCAGAACCCTGCCGTAAAAGAGCTTTTGCCTTCCCCGTCCTCACCTCCACATACAAGTACCATCCCTGAAACGGCCTCATGGGGCTGTGGTGTGGCACATTTACGTATGTGCGACAAGAACGTTTGCAAAATGAATCCAGCTTACATCGTTTGATGTAGAACTTTTGCTGTTGGTCCTCGGAGCTTTGGAGTAAGAATTCATCACAACTTTCTGAAAGCAGTTAAAGAACGTCAATCGAGTCTCAAAAACAGAGAGAGAGAGAGAGAGGGAGAGGGAGAGGGAGAGAGAGAGAGTCAAACAGAGACAGAGAGGGTGACATTATCAAAAACTGTATTACAAATTGTTTAGACCCTTACCTAGCAGCATAGCCAATCAATGAACTGGTTGACGAGATTGTGTCGGCTGCTACCTGAAAACGGAAAGGTTGAACAAGTCCTAGTCCGTTGTTAAAGGGATGTTGAGACAGTATACACGTGTACTCCAAATGGAACCCGAAGAGAATACTCACACCTCTCTCGACTAAGATGCTTAGGAGGATCGGACGCTGTGGCAACTTAAGCGGAACCTTACGGATTTGCAGTTTGACAGCCTTGTCAAAACCAATTTGGCGGATCAGGATAGTAGTATGCCGTGGTATACGAAGGCCCCTAACCCTGAAATTTGCTATTCTCTTCGCAGTCCTCCTACAGCGCCTATCTCGCGGATACACAGTGACGTGTTCCAGTCGCTGGTGGAGGACGGTGATTTGTGGTCTTTGCGTTGCCTGTTGTGGACTCCTTGTGTTTCATCGCTGTTGGTATCGTCTCTTTTGCAGCAAGAGTTGCGAGCATTTCCATGACTAGGTTAATGCGTTCGCTGCTCGCTACGTGCATTTCCAAGGCTTGAAAGGAATTCCTTATGGTTGTCTACACGTTGGACAGATTCACAGTCTAGGCCCCGGTGCATTGTCCACACACATCAAGGCCTGAATTGTTCCACAGCTGAATGATTAGGATGTCCTAGATTTCCTGGCCATGGGTATAGTTAGGAGGCCCAAAGCTTCTTTTGGGCAACCTCCGACATGACACCTGCGGGATCCTGTCGGCCAGGCTACGCGGCTACGCGTACAGTAATGCGGGTCACAGCTGTAGTTTATGCTGCCTGCAAAGCTTCTTCCTTACTACACAAGAAAATGTAAGAACATAGCTCCCTAAAGACCTTAACCCCAATTTACTTATCAGTACGGAACAAAGGGACATTTTATCTAGGTCCGCACAGGGATTATTCCCCACTAATATCCTGTAAGCTAAAGCTGAAACAGTACCTAGGCCAGCACTTCGGAAGCCTTGCAGGTGCTCAAACGCTCTTGGAGAAAGTCTCGGCCTATGAGCTGGGAGGCGGAAGCCAGAGATCACCTTGATCTACTGCTAAGCCTTGATAGTAAAACATTTTTTAGGGGCTTACAGATACCGATCCATATATATATATATATATGTATAATCTTGACATCATACTCTCATATGAGATATATGTAAATATTATGCGCGCATATTCGTGGAATATTCATCGGATGAGGAGCTATGTCTTAGGGGACGAATTTGATTGTAGGGGACTAGGTGGGTTTGGAATTTTGAGATGTGATTGTGAAGACGCTGTCCTTTTTGTTGTGGTGATTATACTTCATTGCTGCTATAGTTTGGCTTTGGAATTGGCATCATCCTGGTCGCTTCCTTAGTAGGGTTCAGGCCGTACGAGAGGTTTTATCGGCTGGGGGCAGTACAGATAGGGTATACTGCAACCTGACCCAGTGCTCGACTAAGCTCCATGTTGTCCCTGCACAAATTGTCCTTAAGCCCTCCACTGTGCTTCAAGCCGGTTCTAATCTAATTGCTGAGGCAACATGCTCTGATAGAGGGCTCCAGACGTTCCACGCGTAAACGGTTCGAGTTGGGTTGATGTGCCATCTTGATTCTCGTCCTGACTCCTGACGGCTGGATAGGATTTTGCACTTGCGGAGTTCACAGGGAGTCCAAGAAGCCGGATGGAAAATTTGCTGGATTAAAAGAGGTGGGGGCAGACGGCCGTCATCAAAACCCTAACGGCCGAACAATGCAGTGTCATGGGGTTCATGTAATCTCCCACTTGTGTAAGTCCGCTTCAAGTCTACCCTTTTGCCTTAAAGCCCACCAATTCACCTGTGCGGCAGGATGTGGCCGGTGAACACACAATGGTCATCGCTCAGAAGGTGCAGATTGCCTCGTGGCAGCAGGGTGCGCGGATGCTGGCAAGTTTGGGGGGGAGGGGATGCTCAAAAACTTGTACTTAGTGCCCGTTTGTGGGTGACTTCTCCTCAAGGTCTTCTGCTACTTCAGAGAAGTCTCTAGCGCGGCCGACTGCATCAGGAATGCTTCCTTATAAGAAACTGTGCAAGAGCCAGCGAATGTCTTTTGAAAGTAATGCTGGCTGCAGGAAGGAATTCCCAAAGTATTGCTTGAAGAGGTAGGCCAGGGATCTGTTATTCAGCCTGCACGCAGCGAAACTACGGCAACCATGCATGAACGGAAGCATAACAAATCAAGCATCGTATCATTGATTTTGGTTCCGCAGCTACTCAGGGAAGCCACTGATTTGAAGACCGGTCCTACTGCAGGAATCCCTCCCGGGTTCCTGCCGTGTTCCTCCACTGCAAGTAACCAGGGCATTGCCATGTATAGGAACAAAGGGTCAGAATATGAGCCCTGAAGCCCATGAGGAGGCAAGTATGCTTAGCCAAGGACATGTTTGCCACAGACATTCTCGTACTTCGACCTGATGTTCACCCACGACATCTCACCACGGTCTTGCCGACATTGTGCCGAGCTGAGCTGACCGTTTGTTTTGAGGCGGGTTGCCAGATGTCGCAAGGACAGCTACATCCCACGGAATGATGTCGTAAGACTTCCTCAGCTCTTGTAAGGATATCCCAATCAAAGGCCCGCCCGAACGACACGGCCATTGCACCTTCGCAGATTGGACTTGTAACATTTAGCTTGCTCAGCTACCTTGTCTCGTCACGGATGCATAAGCTGGCCCCAGAAGTACTCGTAGCCGGCTGGCACAGGCTGAGCAGCATCTTCATGTGTTGCGCAAGATATACTGAAGCAAAAGCTGAAGCTCAGCCCTGACTCCCTTCTCTTCCTGCGTCCAGAGCGGGGGAGAGCGAAAAAGAGAGAGGGGGAGATATATGCATAGATATTTATATACATATAAACACATAACATATACATATATATATATGCATATATATATATAGATCCATCTCTACATATATATATATATGTTTATATGTTCATGCTATGTACGTACGTATGCATGCATGCATGCATGCATGCATGCATGCATGCATGCATGCATGTATGTATGTATGTATGTATGTGTCTAGACACGTACTTATGTGTGCTTGCCTGCCTGCTTGCCTCCCTGCCTAGCGGCATGGCGTATTATTGCAAGAGACTAATCAGTAGATCTGGGATTGGGGATGCCCTGCACAGTTCCAAAACGTAGAAGGGGGGCATGCAGGGACACGCCATAATTTGTCGATGGTTGTACTTCAGCAGGCCTACCGGCCTCAAACCCTAGCCTTTGAAGTCTTTCTGAATGCAACCTGGCCTTGTAACTGTCAGTGATGTTGGCCGCATTGCTATCGTCCTCCCATTGAGCGACGTAAGCATTCATGTTAATTCTCCCTTCTCCTTCAGCTGCCGAGGCTGTATCCCAAGCGCCCAGGCTTGCGCAAAGACGCCAGCTCAGGGTGCCGCTCTCGGAGAAAAAGAAGTCTGGAGGGTCTGGGGGCCCCGCAACCCCCAGGGCTGGGAGGGTTCAAAGGTGGGTTGAGGGTTTAACCCTTTCCCGCATGTACTACGGGGGCATCTCGCCCAAATACGCTGGGTGCAGCGATAACCCACAATTGTATATGGGGCTTGGGTCCCTTTCATTTTTATGTATGTTGGGTCTATTTTGGAAGCAGGGTTTTGAAGGGCATTCTATTTCGAGAAAACCTGTGGTCTATGTGGGAAGGAAGACAAGCTTGACACGTCGTTATGTCCGGCCAGATGCCTAGTCATGTCTGGCCAACTCCACGCACTTGAGGGCTCAGGGCGGAAGTTTTAGGGTTGAAGGTTTAAGGTGTAGGGCTTTAGGTTTCAGAGTTTAGGCATGAGGCCACAGAACGGTGCTAGCTGCATAGCTCCCAAGCAAGGGAAGGAGCATCTTGACTAGCAATTGCTTGACAACTGGTGTCTCCAGGTGCCTACAAGCTCTCTTGGTAGCTCTCCATCTCAAGTTGCATGAAATTTGACTTCCGCAGTCCGAGCGGCCCTGCCTTAGAGAGCCTTCTCAGAAAGCAAAAATCCCATGCCAGTGGTTTGTTGATGTGTTGCGTGGTCGTCCCTTGGGAGGTTTCCTTGGTTCGTAGGATTTCGTGTAAGGAAGAGTTTCTACCTGCCTCTCTCTCCGCGGAGTTTCCCAGCATTTCAAGGAGACCTCGTTGAAACTATATAGGGTCCCCTTTCCAAAGCCCAAGCATGGCAACATCCTGAACCCCATTTTTCATGAGAACACTGGCAATGTTTTTCTGCTTCCCCGGAAGGAGCCACCCCCCGAACTCCGACCAAGGGTGGCCTGAAACATAAGAGTCACCACGTGGAACAAATCTTCTTGGGTTTGCTGGGTTCGAGTTGAAGCTGCACGCTTCTAGCAACTTGTATTTCACCTTAGGGAACCGTCCAAGGCGTGCGCAACAAGCACCGCGCCCAAATTACAAGACATGGCGGCTCCATTTGCGACGCATCAAAGCCAAGTGGGCATCCCTCACAGTCATGAGAGGCACTTTGGAATCTGATGCTTCAGCATGTCCAGAGTACATGAGCAGAGATGAAATTTTCGAAGCTTTCAGTGATCATCAGGCTACCTGGAGTCGACAGTGTGGCTGTTAGTCAATCTCACGCTTTACACAGCTTGAATTCCACAGGGCCAACAGATTCACAAAGGCACTTCAGTGTTGGCAAGACCGAAAATTACTTGGCACCATCATACTACTGCCATGCAGCAGTGCTGTGATGACCCAAGCGTCCTCACCAGACTTCTGATTGGCGCTGACCTGCCGGACACTTGTCTGAATTCGAAGTTGCCTTCAAGCTGTGATCCCTTGTATATGTTTGCAGCATCTCTCCGCCGTTTTTGTTTGGTGCTAATCATGAGATCGCAACATAATGACATTCAAATCGGCATTCAGGCCGCAGCCCTTCAACAAGGAACCAGCCTGTGCATGTTTCGGGGCTGTGGCTTCTATTGGGATTGTGAGGAGGCAGGCCTATCCAAGCCACTCCAAGCCCAAACGAAACTAACTTCTCAAACCTGAGGTATACGTGGCAAAGGCTCATGTAAGATTTCTTTAAGCCTTAGAATCCTGAGCAGGTGGGCTTAGCCCGTGTTAAGAGAAGCCCCGCATGTGGCAGGATTGGCTCAGCTTGCAAGCGGGCAGTCGCGCGCTTCGCACAGCCGCATCTGGACCTGCAGGGGTTCGCAGGAAGCTTCATGCGGAGTCCTAATATGGAGCGATCCCTTATTGGAATGTTTGTGCCCAATGAGTTTCGGAAGATGATGCAAATGATCATCGAATGTGCTTCCCAACATGATTGCGATCTTTCAGCGGGACAGGGCTTACTGCTTCACGGTAAGGCCAAATAGCCCATGAAGCGTGACAAAGTGCACTGGTATGCCGGCTTCCAGCAAATGCAAAATGGAGCTGGCCTTGATGAAGTAGATCGGCCAGATGCTGTTGGCTTGCAACTTGCAGAGGAGAATCTAGACTAAGTTCACGTCTCTTCCAGACACCACGCACTCTGAAACCTTGACGTCTCGAGGTTCCGGCATCTCAGACTGAACTGCAAGTTCTACGGCGCCGTCCAGGAGCGTCATTGTCTGATCTGTGCCGATGCGGCGATGTCACCGGCCGCTTGGCCGGCGGATACACTTTCATGTGTAGCTGCTCTGATTTGACCTTTATGGAACCCAGTGAACTTGTCTATATTCAAACCTTTATTACCAGGCAAAGATAGCTAGCCGCAAGAGGGAATGAGTGGCCTTCAGGTAATACTCAGGGAGCCCCGAGCCAGGGCTTGAAAGGGCAAAACATCAGGGTCTAACTTCTTGGAGAAATCCTAGAGTCTTAGAGCTATTGTAGGAAGACAACACCGCAAAGTAAATTGGGGATAATTTTCTGTCCAATGTCAAAGCCGCTTCTATTCGCGGCCTCGTTCTGCGGGATTGAAGGTCTTCAGCTCAGAAGCAAAGACCTTCGAAAAATCCTGGCCTGATAGCTGCAAAAAGGCTTGTGGGCTCATCTCGTGGACAGCGAGATACAGCTTAGCACCTTGGCGCACATGCAACGCGATTTCTTTACGAAGGTCATCGCGTCAAGGGTCCTAGCTGACGCATACTGCACGGGGCTGTGCTTCCTTTGGTCTGGTGTGTCACATTTTTGGTGCCTGGGGTGGCAGAAGGAAAAGGAAATTATGCCATGTGCCTTACGGTACTGAGCAGAGGCACGCCAAGAGTTAGCATACGTGAAGGCAGCCATTGCAACATCTTTTCCCACTGTACGGAACTTGCGCAAAAAAAGGCAGCCACCAGGCGTCATCCAAAAAAGTTTCGGACATGTTTGCAGTGCCTTGAGCTCGAAACGAAGGCCCCTACCTCGCATTCCTTTGCCCGAACAAGTCTGGCTGCGCAGCGTTGGCCGGGATAGCGTGAAGTGATTCTATCTTGTCGGATTTCCCGTTTTGATGTGACTGTGCAGCATGAGACTGACCGCCGGCGTCCGTAAGCGATGAACACCTGCTTGAGCTTGACCGGTACTCTCGGCATGCTTGCGCCCACCGTTCGCGGCATAGCACCAGGTTGGGTTTCGGATGTCTTGGCTTCAATGGGCACGCAAATTAGACAATGACATGTTCAACAGCATTGCTCAGATTCTTGAAGGTTGTGTCCTTCTCATAAGCCTGCACGTCAAGCAAAAGGCGCGCAGAAAGCAGTAGCAAAAAGAAACATGCGCCGCAAGATGCCAAAGAGTTGTCCTAGTCCAAACCATATAGAATGGGCACTCCTCCAAACTCGGTCAGCCTTCATAGACATTACAGTTTCGAGAAACCCTTAGCAGGAAATTTCCGCTATCTCTTCAGTCGCTTTCTACTGACTTGCAATCCTGGCAAACATATCATACGAAGCCCTCAGGCCGCGATGAGCTTGCAGACAGCACAAGCAGTTTGCTGCACGATGCTTTGGGCGTAACCTACGGCACTGCACCTCGCCTTGTGAGAAGTCATATGGTGCTTGTCAAGACTATGGGCCAAGTTTGGATCTCTTGTAAAATACGGCCCTATACATTTAGGATGGCATTGCCGCAGTTTCGAAGATCATGAGGAAGTTGGTAGAACTGCCAACATACTTGACGGATAGCTTTGTCATCAACACCAGCATGCTTCACATCATGCTGGCCCTGTTACCTTAGTTGCCTTGGCATGCTCCCTAACACTAGCCATTTTATGGCGGTTGCACAGCGACATGCCCATGAAAATCTTTGCCACTGTCACACTGTATTGCTTCGATCTGTACCCGACAGTTGCGGAGAGTTGGTCGATACAGTACTGCTAGTAACGATTCAGTTCGGTGTCAGTGCACACCTCCCCAGATCAGATTTTCCAGCCACTCACCACGCCAGCAGCTGCCCGCTCGCAGTGTGGAGTTGTGCATGCAGGGGGTGGGTGTGGCTGGACGATGTGGAGATGGTGGAGTGGCTGGGGAGGGAGGCGATGAAGGCATGTGGCTGGATTGGTGTCAGGCGCACTAGCATTGCTTGGACGACGATATCCATGCGATGAAGTTAAGTACCGTTGAAGGAGGCATTGTATCTTAAGATAGAGCTTCAGGGTCATCGAAAAGAAGGCATGAGTGCGCATAAGGCCTTCTGCCCTAGACTTCTCACGCAGCATCCAGGAGCTTAGAATCCTCTAGGTGGCTGGAAGAAGCGAAGAAGAGGGGCCTTGTCTGGTCCAGGCTTTGAAACTCTGTCACTGAGCAAAGTTAGACACGACGGTGCTCCCAAAGAGTTGATGCAGTTCAATACTCATTCCTCAAGGTTGTTTCTCAAGTCTGTTGTAGATACTTTGCCCAGCGTGTTGGACTTCTTTGGGCTGCTATACGGCCAGAGTGCATCCTTGGATTTTCTGAAATCACAATCTCCGTGGTTCATGTTCCTTGCACCACTGCGAAAGAGATAAGGACAGCAAAGACGGCACTCGGCAACAGAGGCCACGTTCCAGTGTGCATATTTGGAAGCAGCCTCTTAAAAACTTGCCTGTCGCGCTGTTGGTGATGTCTACTAGACAAGAAGTGTAATGAGAACAGGTAGTCGTGATGGCTGTTGTTTTGTCAGCAGGCATGTTTGTGATGCCCCTACAATTCCTTTCAAGTTCTGTAAGAGCATCACGTCCCAGAAACTCCATATCATTTTGATATACACTTTGATTCGGCCGTTATGTTCGTTGGATTCGGATCATCCAATCAGAAGTCTTACACACCTTTTCCTATTAGGCCTTGGCTAGGTCAGGTACGTTGCGTGGTGTAGCTTCAAAGGAGTGTTCTCCAATCCCCATCGCTTGATAGCCCCATTATAGTAGTTTCCATGTGATTTTCCATTATCCCCATTTAGCCCCTATACAACCGCTAGTTTAGAGAGCGGTTACTTTGTTC